CTCGTTAACTATTTGCCTAACATTACGGCAACCTCGCCTAGTTAAATAGTTCAATAGTTACTAGCCGGTCCTAAACCAGAGTAAAGAGGGAATGTTAGGCATAAAGCTGCCAGCCCTAACCCATAAAACCAATCTAACCACTAAAAAACTTTAAAGCACAAATTAAATATAGAAAATTAAGTTAAACTTGTTCCTCGCTGGATTGGAGAGGCGGAATGACGCCGGCCAGTGAATGCCTTTCCGAAGCCAATTGGCCGGTGTCTGTTCTCACTCTCGATGAAAGTAAAAGTAAGAATGGGGACATGGAATGTCCGAACAATGTTTGAATCTAACTGACAAGGCTGCTCAGATTGCAAAAAGAATAAGAAGATATGGCACAGAAGTGATAGGAATCTGCAAAAGCAGATCAAATCGAAGTGGACTCTCCAAACTGCCAACTGGAGAGGAGAGTCAATAATCTACTCCCATATTGTCACCTACACGACAAACACAAGCACAGAACACTGAGTTTTCCAGTGGCTATCATGATGTTTAAAAGGACATCGAAGGCTCTCTTACATGCAGTGGGAACCAATCTCCTCCAGCATCAGGATCATGACAGCAGGATGGATTCAACTCAAAAGGAAGGAAAGTCACACTCATACAACGCCAATGCCAATGCTACGCACCTACAAATAATGTGGATGAAGAGAAGAAGGAGGAATTCTACAGACAACTGCAATCAGTAATAGACAAGACTGCAGCCTAGATGGTGACATCAAAATCCATTCTAATGGGTGACATGGATGTCAAACTGGGGGCAGGCAACACACGAAGAGAACCAATCATGGGTCAAGGGTCATTTGGTGAAATGATGAATGAGAATGGAGAACTGTTTGCAGACTTCTGTGCACTCAACGATTTGGTGATTCGAGGCGATGCAGTGTGTACAAACACAAGGATATCCACAAAGCAACATGGATTTGATTTCACCAGACACCAGGACACACTACACCGAAAATCAGATTCACTTCATTTCAATGTGAAGAAAGTGGAGATGGAGACACAGCCTACTGGACACAAGATCACATGAAGAAGGAGAGCAGATGTAGGTTAACACCTCTCACTATCTAGTGCAAGAAACCTACCTTCAAAATCAATTTGAAAGCCTTCAAACAAGCTGGTGGTGATACACCATGGTTGAAGTCCAACACCCATCCAGAAATTGATCTGAAGGACGAAACTACAAAGGACATCTTCACATCACTCAGTCAGCTGTCAGGACAAAATGGGGGATATTCAGCAGCATTCCTGAAGAAACCTGCATGTAAGGACACTGGAACTGTGTGCGAGTGCCTTGGAAGGAAACCTGGATAACCGTGTTAGGAGAGAAGAAGAAGCAAGACAGGACATGGAATTCACCTCGACAGACACATGGAAGCTGACAGAGGAGGGAGAGGAAGAAGGTGATGGTGAAGCAAAAGATGAACCAGTGCAGTGCAGAATGAACAACGAGAAGAGGATTTGAACACAACCTGCAAAACACTACACAAGACAAAGAAGTGAAGAAGAGTGTACGAGTGTAAGACAAAAGACACTTCTGTGACACACCTGCAAGTGAAGCAGAACAGGCTGCTGGTAGGAGAGATACAGACAGACAGACAGACAGACAGACAGACAGACAGACAGACAGACAGACAGACAGACAGACAGACAGACAGACAGACAGACAGACAGACAGACAGACAGACAGACAGACAGACAGACAGACAGACAGACAGACAGACAGACAGACAGACAGACAGACATACAGACAGACAGACAGACAGACAGACAGACAGACAAACAGACCTGACAACACTATATCAAATAACCAAAGTACTATCTCGGAAGAGATAAATACAGATGAGACCAGTGAAAGATGATGGAGGAAAGCTAGTCACCAAAGAGGATAAACAAGTGAAACGATGAGTTGACCACTTCGAAAAACTCTTGAATCGACCACCACCACCTGCAACTCGTCCACAAATACCACCAGCACTGCAGCCACAAAACTATCAGTGAACGCAAACCCTCCGACAAAAGCAGAAGTGAAGTCATGAACGCCATATAGCTGCTGAAATCCGGGAAAGCAGGAGGACCATATGGAATTCCACCAGAAGCACTGAAAACAGACACAGAGACATCAGGAGTGGAAATGCTCACACCACTTGTATTGCAGAAGGTTTGAAAGGAAGGAAGGAAGTAAATGTACCTACACATTTAGTTGGAAGAAGGGCTGTTTCGTCAGACTCTGAAGGAAGTGCGACGTATATCTTTGCAAGAACTGGTGCGGAATCATGCTTCTGTCCCTGTCCACCTCAAGCGAAATATTATGCTCCATCATCTTGGAAAGAGAAACTAAAGAATGTTGTGCATTCAAAATTACGACAGGAACACTCTGACTGCCTGACTGCCTGACTGACTGACTAACTGACTGGGTAGTTGTTTGTCTTGAGGAAGAAAAAATCAAGTGCGGATCAAATTGCAATGCTTCGCAGCGCTACACATTATCATAGAACAGAGCATAGAATGGCAGTCAACTCAATTCAAATCAACCTCAACGTCATCGATTTTGAAAAGGCCTTCGATAGTGTCGACGGAGAAGTAATTTGACAGATACCTCGACACTATGGTTTTAGTACCACAAACGTTTATCAACCTGATTCAACAGTAGTTATATGTTATGGTATATGAGGATGCTGCATGCCAGCCATGTGATTCACAACACAATGGAAAGCTCAGTGATGCATTTGAAGTGAAGACAGGAAGGAGTACGACAAGGCTACCGCTTACTATCACTGGTGATCTTCTTGATTGTGGTGGACTGGCTCATGCAGCAGACAACTGTGAGGGCGAGAAGGGGGGCATACTCTAGTTGGACAGATGAAAAGACACCAGAGAAAGATTTGGATTTCAGCCCCGATGATGATTAATGTCTAATGCTCTGTCGCACAAACTAGAAGATCTACAGGCGAAAACTAACAAGTTGACAGAAGAGGTGAGACGAGGCAAGGTGAGAGAGTGAAGGATGAAGGGACTTGTTTCAGGTGAACGTAGAGAAGACAGAGGTGATGAAGATACCGAAACAACAACGATGACGACGACAACAAGAACAACAACAAGCACCAATCACCCTCAATGGAAGAAAATCTAAAGGAATTTGTCTCTTCCACCCACCTACCTAGGTAAGGTAGCATCGTTTCAACTACAGGCGTTGGCGTCGGCGGCAGTGGCGGTGGCGGCACAGATGAGGATGTCGAAGCAGCCACGATTGGCAAGACAGTAAGACAGGTCTGCCTTGAGTAATCTGAAATCAGTGTGGAGATCTACTGCACTGCACTGCACTCAGCGTAAAGCGTGAATAACATCCGAATTTTCAATTGTAATGTCAGTGAAGTCAGTGCTTCTATGTGATGGTTGACAGACTTGGCGAAGTGTCCCGAAAAGCATTTCCAACAAACAACCGGAGGTATAAATCACATGAACAGCTGCCGCCTACGCTCACTCGATACTGACACTGAAGATCAGAGAGGATAAGCAAAAAGGAACTCACTCTGACTGGCAACGAATCAGTAAGGGATTGCCCAACAAATATGCAGAAGAAAGTGGAGATGGATCGGACTGAAAATACATTTAGAAGGCGGCACGCGTCGGTCCAGGCCGTGTGAAGGAACCCGGATGGGAAGGGACGAGTTGGGCATGTGAGAGTAACCACATGGAGGAGATCTTGTGGGGAAGAAATGAAAGGTTACCTGAAGTCTTGGAGCCAGGTTGAAGTGACTGCAGAGAACAGTTTGAAATGGTGATGTTCTTCTGAAGCCATATGCTCCCCTGGGGTCCCAAGGGACAAATAGTAATGATAATAATAAATATTATAGCATTTTATATTTTTTTAACATTTATTAAATGCTTTTCTGATAATGAAAACAAGTGTCAGTAGCCTCCGTAGAGATAAAAGTATTAGCGCGCAAAGGCTACATTTATCTGATTTATCGCTTAAGGTTTGAAGTCCCACCAATGGCTGCAGTCCTTCACTAAATTTATCCGATCTTATGACTGACGTCTGTGACGATATTAATAAATTTAAGTCTGATATTCTGGAAGTATCCAAAGCAGTTGGGAATATGCAATGTAATGTGGAATATCTCCTCCCCAGATACGACTCCTCATTTGATACTTTAATAAAATGTGGGTGATGAGTTAATTTTGTAGCCAGTGAGGCAAGCACCCGAATGCGATCCTCCTACAATTCGGTAGACTTCAACATCCCTAACAGTTCTCTACTAGAGCCGGTTAAAACTGACTGTTTACAAGCATGTGGCTCGACTGACTCAGCTTGTAATGTTCGTCACCTAAGAAAAAAAACAATCAGATTCCCGTGTCCTGTTTTGTTTCAGTTTAACTCACCGTGCAGTGTAAAACACTTCTCTGACTCTCAGAGAATTATAGCATCCACAACACCGTAAAGCAAGGTGAAGATATCGCCTGACTTGACTTCTTGTCAGCATCGCATACGGAAATTTCCTAGCGCACTGACTTCGCAAGTTTCACTCAAACCATGAGATGCTGAAAGTAGACTATAATCAACGAGTTGTGAGAATATTCGATAGTTCAAGCAATGGCTGAATAATTCCTTATTTCGAACTCAGCTTGCTTCAATCTGTGGAACAACTATGTTGGTATTTATCTGTTTTGTTCTTTGTTGTCTGCGAAGCACTAATATCCTTTCTCTAAACTCATCTTTTGTTTGACATAAATAACAGTGTCTAATGTATTACTTGTTATTGCACGTAACAGTCAGTTCATATTACCAAAGTGATCAAACCTGTTTTCATGTAGCCTATATTGTATGAACTTTATTGCATTATTAAACACAAATATCCAAACTGAGTTATAACTTCTACTTTTATTGTCTTTCACTCCTTCCATTTTTGTTTTTTAGTAAACAACGATGATTTTTAAGATGAAACTCAGATTATTTTTATGTAAGCGTTTATTTGTCAATTACATGTGAATCAAAGTAGAAAACAGAAGTCATATCGTTTGAAGTTCTAGCCACAAAGGGTAAATATCGTTTAATCTTATTGAAAACTCTTATTCTTTTACACTATTATCATTTACAGTCTATAACATGTTTATTCACAGTGGTGCCAAACCATAACCACCAGCTTTAAAAAGTAAGATAGCATGATTACCCGCATACATATACACGAAATAGCCTGATTCGTGTGTAACGAAACTACAGAGAAATAAGGAAGAAGTGAGAAGTTCAATTTCATTTGAATAATTAATAAATACACACATAAATAACTTAATGATTACAAATTATGACACAAAAGGTATGGACATCACACAATGACTGGTTCTCGTGGTTCAGTGGTATTGTGGATAACTATCTGGTGTTTGAAGTACTTGTTTCTCGGTTCGAGTTTAAGTGAGAAAACATAAGCAGTGGGGCGAAGCTAGTTGAAGTGTAGTGCAGACACGTTCAGCAAGGAAACAACAAATATGATACAGAGATTTCTGTGATGCGTTGATGAGCCACTTGTGGTACTGTTTACGGTTAGTGATGTATGACATTAAAAGCTTTATTAGTTCATCCGTATGGGGCACTGTATTTACCAGGTGAGTTCAGATATAACTTTTAATCACCATCACTTTTTTTTCAGGTTGGGATTCATCATGGATTGACATTAGATGGAGGAAGATTGGAAACCTAGGAGCATTAAACAACTGTTTCGTTTGAGTATGGGACTCCTCAGCAGTACGTATTCATGACCCCACCCGCCAGGCATCAAACCAAGGACCTTCAGCTTCCGCGGCCACCAGGTTACCATTGAACTAGCATTCAGGTAGGAATCCAACGGTCCACATTTCCAACTTATGTCAGTTCACGACATAGCGCAACTGTTACCCACTGTCATCTTTGACGATTTGTCCCCATGGCCAAAACGTCTGCCCCATCGGTGACAACTTCTCATTGGAACTTCAGAAATCAGCTGTCGGTGGTAGTCAGCAATGGGTAGTAGGTCAGTTTAATTTGGGGATTTGTGGGGATTCAGTGATCCCTAGGGGGTCATGGGTGCACACTGTTGAGTAGTCCCATAGTAGGACAAAACATATGTCCAGTTCTCCCAAGTTTCCAATCTCGCTCCAACTGATGTCAGTTTATGATGAATACCAACTTTAAAAGTCACTAAATCCTCACAAACTTCACAAGTTAAACACCTTCAGTTTACCTAGTCCAAACCAAGTTGGTCAATTATTTCATACCCAGAGATGCAACTGCTTAATAATAAGCTAAATGTAACTTATTCTACGGGGACAGTTAAATTGCTGTGCTTAAGACAAGTAGTTAAGATTCATTAGGTTATTCTGGAATCTAAGACAGTAAGCTTATTTACTGATCAACCAAGACAGATCAGTAGTCTTATTCTAGAATTCAGGATCATCGGTAAGAGTTACTGTGTTTATATATATATATATATATATATATATATATATATATATATATATTGCATTGTTAAAAAACATCTACAACACAGATGATCAGCATTACCATTTCGAAAAAAAACCATGAAATTATCTTCATAGACTTACCTTCCAAATTTTTTTCCAACAATACATTGCCAAGAAGGTAAATGTTTTTGATCACATTCTTTCTTGATATGACCAGCAATATCTTTCTCAATTTTATGTTGTTTTACAGCTTCGAGACAGATACGTACGATATCCTTTCTCATTTCTTCAGGCATATCAGTATTCTTTATGAAGAAGGTTTCCGTAGACATATTTCAAGTGTTTCTATTTTTGATACTTATTAGTGTAAGTTGACTGAATTCAGTGAAGGAGAATCAAAAATGCTAACAGTATATATATATATATATATATATATATATATATATATATATATATATATATATATATATAATGATTTTATAAGATCTGATATCATTTTAGTAGCTTAGCTTCAAAGAGATTATAGAAAGAAAAGACCTACTAATTGAAGCTTTTTACAGAAAACATCTAAAAGTTCATTTCATTGATATCTATGATGAAAATATAATGACTTTGTATGTGTTTAGTTGTGTGAAAAACAATGATAAACATTTATGTGTACATTGTATATTTTATACACAGTTCATGGGTTGACTGAATCACGTTGACCAATATTAGAATTGTGAAGAGAAGAAGAACTAAACAAATTCTTAATTATTTAGTAGACGGAGAATCATGAAGAAAAATTTGAAAGAAAGAGAAACAACAAGAATTCCATTCGGTTTGATTCTTCAGAAATTCTAACATAGAACTAATCTTACATTACTATTTATGGATATGCTTGTAATTCTCTATTGCTTCACTGGATTGAATTGTTTTACCTCCTTTGGTATATGGGGTCTTATGTGGATGCCCCGATATTTCCTGAGTGTTAATTATAGTAATTTGCATGGTTGTAGCTAACAGAAGAATTTAGGATGCGTTTTTCTCCTAGTTGGGACTCGTTAGCTGGATGTTCCTTAACTCCGGTGACTGATGTTTTTCCTACTGAGACTCGAACCTGTACCCATCGCTTCAAACGTCAAAGGGTTATCAACTAGGCCAAGAGTCCCAAATAGGACGAAGCGCGCGTCCTGAGTTCTTCTGCTAGCCATAACCAAATAAATTACCATAGAATTAATCATATGGCTGTCTGTTGTGTATATGTACACGATAGTGTGAAAAACGAGAAGAAACAGGAATTTAACGTAAACACTGAATAAATGAGTCTTATTTAACTTGCATTAAGTTGACTCATTACCTAAATTCTTCAATTAGCTAGTTAACTGATAACTTATCATTACTGTTGAAGTTGATCGAAGAAACTATAGGCAATGACCTGCTTAAACGTTGAGTTACCAAAACGTTTCACAGAGTTATATCGAATCAAATTCTGCCCTTTTAGTTACACTCTTGGATATTTTAAAAATGTTTTCAAACTAAGAACAAAACAAACAAAAATCCTTACACCGAATGGAAATTGACCTATAAATGGTCAATATTACGGCAGATGACTCTATGATATCTGTGTTGAATTGAAGATTTTTGTACTAGCTGTTTCAACTACCAGCACTATCAAAATTATACTCCAACATTCATTATCGAACATTGTCTATATATTCATTTCTAAGTCCAGATCAGACACCTATGCACTACCAGCTGGCAATTTTACATAAGTGCCTTTAATAATGTTATTATTAACACTTCAGATACAAAAATTATTCATCGTTCAAATTCTTCAATTAGCTAGTCAACTGATTACTTGTTATGACTATTGGAGTTGATTGAAGAAACAATGAATACTTAGTGAAGTGAATTCTTTGGAGCCCAATATATTGTTGAAAGTCTATTGCATTAAACAGTTATTGAAATTGCCTACAAAACAGAAAATTCAGTGTAGCCTAATACTGAAAATGAGTTATGTCAGATTTCATATTACCTCTGTCTATTCTCTGTTGCATACATGTATGGAGTGTTACTTACTGGATAGCATGTTGAGCAGATTTAGCTACAGCTAAGCATAGTCATACAGATTCTTGACTGAGTTCATTACTGATGAACAATTCATCTTTAGGCACAAAATTATTTAGTGTTCACAGATGAGATTTGATTCATTGTTTATTGAGGAATAATTAGTTATGTATAAATAGGTTGAAGTAGAATTTTTCACCCTATCATATTCCTCGTGATTCTTATTATTCACATTGCCTGACTGATTATTAAGCAAATACTTTCTTTTCATTATTTCAGTTTCATCACTACACTAATGATACAAATATACCTTATGTTTCAATAATAGACTTTTGTGTTTGTGATAACAATATATACTATTGTACAGCTTAGGAGAGTGAAACGTCCACGAAGGAAACTTTCATCAGTGAACTATTTATTTTCCTTATGATATAATGAACATCTGTTCTTGCTCCACAGGAGCATCTAAACTGGTTTATACGCACTAGTGTTACACAATACGTCAGCTTGTCTTTCATACAGTGACCAAGATACTTTTGGAGGAAGAAACGATTCGAACGTTAGCAGAGCAGTATGTTCTGTTTGAGAATGTTGATAGTAGTATTTCTAATATTTCTGGAGCAACGACATTTTTGAATTGAAGTCTCAGTGAAAGAAAATTTTTGATGCTGAATATGTTTGTTCATTTATGTTCTTTGTCTTTAAGTTCTCATCTGTAAAATCGGGGCGGATAACCATTTCCCCCCAGAATTCTACGATGAATTTACAGTTCCATATCAACAGTGTCCTCTGAACATATTTTCACAATCATCCATGTAAGTGAACGGAAAAGACTGCTCTTTCTAATGATAAGGATAGAATTTTAAAAATCTATAAATCGTCTCTTACATGGATAATGATAATATAGTAATAATCTATCCCTGAATTTTTAGGTGCATATCATTTTCATGAATACGGTCTATGAAGTGAGAAGTTTTTTGTTTAGAGTTGTAAAGGCAATACTGCCACCTGTCCATCTTGTCTATTCGTGAGTACCTATTCTGCTGCCATGCTTCATCCTGGTGACATGCAACACGTTTATCTTCTAATGAATGAATAGGTGTAGGTTAAAGTTACCTACCCTTAAGAAACATGTAATTTATATAGGAATGTTTACATACATTCAAGTATGATGTGTGGCTGTATATTATTATTACTGAATGGAAACTCATGAGGCGATCAGCCATAGTTACTTTTTGACAATGAATCTGTTGAACTGTTTCCTTCTTTGCATGACGCTTTTACATATTCACCATCATCATTATTACATATTTATCATTTAGGAACCAGAACTAGTCCAGCTTATCCAGTTGACCAAGAAACTCTAATCCTAGGTTGCAAAATGACCATGATTTTTCAGTGAAACCTCTGTGGATTGGTGATGATACACCTAGCGCTAGGCCTAACAGTCCACTCCAACCTCCTGCTTTGGAGTAGGAAGTGCATCCTAGAAAAGGTCGACCTCTACCTCCATCGTATGATCGTCCGTCTTATCTGGTCCTTAAGGAAGTTGAATGTGTACTTCATGTTCGTCTGCCTTCTCCAGAAGCTGGAATAAAAACAGTCTTCGATAAATTGATTTAGGTGCAGGCTGTTCCGGAGTGGGGCATCAGAGTGAAGGAGGGCTTGCGACAACGTCCTACTGGACAAGTGTTTATTATGATGACAATTCGAGATTCTTATGACCGATCTCTCAACTTTGATGGTCATCCTCATGCAGAGGATATTATTAAGGTAGTAGGCTCATCTTAAAAACAAAAACAACTGTTGTCGCGTTGCATATGAAGCATCTACTGGAGACTTTAAATCGAAACAAGCACGTCCATCTACATATGCAGAAGTTATTGACAGAGGTGAGACATTTAGTCGTTCGTGTTCTGATGTTAAGACGGTTGAACAGTCTAACTTTGATAGAACAGTAGGGCTTCGCGACAGGCATCCACGCCACAGTCCATCACATTCCAGTTCTCTTAAACGTTCTCTACCAGTGGGAGGAAAAGAAAAACCATAGTGATCCCTACTATGATCATCTCAAAACTCAATGTGATGATTACCATGATTTATTCTACAGATTTGCTTCACCCTTGAAATATTTTCAGGGAGATGATGCGACTAATAAGATACAGCTATCAGAAGATAACCACGAAAAGGTTGAAAAATGTATATACTGTTGCACTGGAACATCTTGGAGTCCACGATACATGGGTTATACATTCAGGTATAGAGGCAGAGCCAGGGCTGAATACATTTACAGGTATCTTTGCATGTCCGGAGGAATTTTTCTGACCACTGCAACGGAATAAACAATTTGAAGCCCCCCTGAGCACTTTATTGGACAGTACTGATATTTATTTGAATATTTTCGCCCTCTCTTGTGGATATTATCCCTCACCCTTGATCTGTATAATATTATTTTGTCACTCCGCCGTCTTCTTTAACTGAATACTCACTATTTGTTCTTGTTTTGATTCAGACATATCCTAATGCTTCACTGTGAAGCGAACGTTTGCCCTTTGACTGTCTACTTGGAAAGTTTATCGGTTGATTTGATTCTTGTAGACAGAGTTTTGGTCCGATTTTGTTGAGAATTTCATAAATTTCTTGTAGATAAGTAATCGCCGTCGCCTGTTGATCGTGACATCAGATCCACTGAGTAGCATGTAACGAAGATAAGAATTTCCAGAGTTCCAAAACTCAAAGCGAAACCGACCAAATCCAAAACAATTGGTTGCCAAAAAACGAATGCATATTCAAACAGTAATCGAACCCTGCGAAATTTGCTCTTGACAACAAAATATATGTATAAAACTCAGTTACAAACCTTCAGTTTTGATGGCCACTGCAGTTTCTAGCGAAGACAAAATGCAATGGTAACACTACTCGAAACAAGAGGTCCAATATGGTCGTACAAGCTGTAGTGAACCTCAAGCATTGCAGACACGCAGACTCACAGCAGACACATGAATGCCGAAGATGAACAGGAATTACTCAGTATCGTCTTCATTAGAGTCACAGCTTGAACTCAGCGGCTACCACACAACTCTCGATCCAGACAAAGCTTTTATACGTCCTCATCAATATAAAGTTTGCGCATCTGCTATTCCACTTCTCCTAACTCGTTCACTGTGTTGAGCCCTGAAGGAGAAAGAAAGTGAACATGATCAGTGTTATCAGTGAGGTTTCGAATGCGTTACAAAGCAAGTTGAATGAAGCCAAACAAATAAGTGCTGAATGTTTTCGAACACATTACAAAAACAGAATCAAAGTACATGCAATACTGATCCCTTTTCACAATATAGCTTGGTGTATCGAATCAAATAATTTATTGTTGACTGTATAATGCCAGCGCTACATTGTTGATGTGTCTTTTTATTTTATATTGTCTGATGGTTGAGTAGTACTGTGAATTTCAAGCATATGCAACGAAGATATAACCACATCAATTGTGTTCTGTTATCATTCAGATATATTTGTTTATGCGTAACTGAAGATAGCTGAGCGTACCATACAGAAAGGACGGAGTCGTATTTCTTTCGTTAATTCGAAGTCATTTTGGCCTGGATACTGCATTGTAACCGAAATGATCCTATTTTTCTAATTCCATTTACTATTGTGATTTCCACAGTCATTATGATAAACGTTCTAACTAATGAATACAAAACGAAAGAAAGTAACTTCTAAAATCTCCAGTTATCAAGATGAAGTTTTAGGAAGTGATGATAAAAACCTGCTTCCGTGGTGCTGCGTTCCATATGGATGGTGTCAAGCCCCACAGTGCTTCATAAAATACATTCATACACCATGTGCGATTAGAGAAGAGAATATATATCAGACACACAAGTTACAGTATTGATTTAATCACCTGCAAGGGTTATATGAAAAACTATACAGGCACCTGATCCATCTGTATCTGTCTCACTTCTATCATGTCCGAAATTCAACAATAACTTTAGCTTCGATTCATATGCCATTGAGACTAGAAGCTCAGTCTAACCTTTTACAAAACGCCAACCACATAACCTTCGCTGTGAGGCGTTGCCTAATGAATAAAACAGAACAAGGCAATGTGGTATAGGGAGATGTGCAGCTGTTCTCAGTCATCTCGTTCGGCTGTGAAATAAGTGGTCGGCACATACTTCTCAGAAACAGCGTTTTGAAGGAAGGTCAACATAACAGGTTATCAAGGTTCGGATAGGTTATTCCGTATTATCAACTAAGAGAACAGTTGGAAAACCGATGTGCTGGGAAAAATGGCTGAAACACTTGGCCAACAAAGTTTCAGTCGAAAGTTTCCTCTACGGTTTTCTTTAGGACAAGATCTCAAGTTATCATTTACAACAATGAGACTCAGTCGCAACCAGAATCGAATGAGTATGATAAGCATTCCTGCTCAAGTTATCCAGTGCATGCTTTAGAGAATATGTTGACAAGCTGCACTCAACGTATAGAAGAGTAATCTGAAAAACAAGTCGATGACTGAAGAGCTCCACAAACGCATCCAGGTCGATCATGAGGAACCCATAAATGGAAGGGGGAGAATGATTGTCACTGATAGGCTTACACGTTGTCGAGAATTTCACCGAAGTACGAGTGAAATTAGTCAATTAATGTTGCCAAAGTTATTCAATCGTCTCATTGACACGAGAAATCAAAAACTATGAGTTTTCTACGCTAGCACTAGTAATATTGGGATTCCGACCATGGTGATAATGAAATGAAAACAATCGATCAGCGTGACCTCCTAGCATTCTAGTGAATTGGATGCCTCACAACATCCACATTTGTTATCAAAAGCTACAGTAGACGTGTTTGCAATATTTTCCTATGTCCCCTTCTGCTGCGAACGTGACGTAACTTCTCGTTCCATTCGTGGTTAAAAAACTGTTATTCTATTCCTTTGTAGCTACTTCATGGAAGAGTGCTGAATTTCTTATCAGCTCACAATCGCTCCTCTAGTTCTGCAAATATCAGATTACAATTGGGATAACGAAGCACTGAATCTGTCTCCCAAACGTTGAAGTTACATAGACCTATCTCAAATTAGTGATGGTGCAAACGTGGACACAGTCATCTACTTGCTAAAAAACACTCATCAACTAACAAGGAAATTTATTGTAAATGTCTAACTCAAGACTCTGCTGAGGTCATTTGATGTGTAATATCTGTTATTATTAAACCCGGTAATTATCTGACCCACATTATAGCCTTATTTATATTTTCAATACACTTTACTTGGTTTCCTAAGAATGGAGACAACTGTCAGTAGCTTCCGTAAGAGAAGAAGTAATAATGTGAGAAGGCTACAGTTATCTGATCGATCGCCTAGCGTTAAAAGTTCCACCAACGGTTGTAGTTCGTCACTAAAGATACTCAGTCTCATGACTGACATCTATAACAGTGGTAATACATCTACGTCTAATATTCTGGAAATCTTGGAAACTGTTGTGAATATACAGTGTAAGATGGAGTTTCTCCCACCACTGATATATGCGGCAGATCCCAAAAGTGACTCCCCACTTGATAGTCTAATGAAATGAGAGAGATCAGTTGACGTCGTGGTCAGTCAAGTATGCAATCGAATGTGATTCTCCTATTATTCAATAGTCTTCAACATCCACGAACACTCCTCATTGGAGTAGGTTAAAATTGAATATTCACAAGCAAGCGGCTTGACTGATTCAGCTTGTGATATTTGTCGCCGAAGAGGAAGAACACACAGGTTCCCGTGTCCCATTCTACTTCAGTTTAATTCACCATGCAATGCAAGACAACTCTCTGACTCTCAGAGAACTGTAGCATCCACAACATCATATAGCAAGGTGAGGATATCTCCTGACTTAACTTGTTGTCAGAGTGGCACACGAAAATTCCATGGAGCACTGACTTCTCAAGCTTCACCGAAACCACGAGATGATGGAATCGGAAGGCAGTCAAGCAGTCACAAGGATGAAAAGCTGTTTAGAACTCCAATGACTCTTAGCTCATCCCAGCTGTCACTTAAAAACTTGTAAACTCTACAGTAAGCACAACATATACCAACTCCATACCATCAACTTGCATAGATTAAATATCCACAGACCTAGATGACAATAAACAAGAGTCTTGGTGATGCACTACAGTGGCCTAAATTCAGTCGATTCACACATCTCGCACAGGTTAACCAATTTGCACAACCCACCTCTTCGGCTTTGTCACCGAGTGCAGTATCCCAAAGTACTGTCAAAGATAATAGATCTATAATCGAAATCTCGTGGGGATCTAAATCCTTCAGTAAAAAATAGCACTATCCAGTCAAAAGTGAATCTCTTAGTGGAACAAATGATCTTAATCAGCCTTCATCAGCTTGTAGTCTCAATTCTGAAAATTCATTGTACACCAAATTCGATATACCCTTAGTTGATGAGTTGCTAACCACAGTAACTCCATCCGATAATATGGAATTCCAAAATCGAGTTATTAGTCTACTTTCATCTATCAATAACCAAACTCATAGTCATTGTTTGTCTGCCTTAAGATTTAAGGATGAAAAATTGTACAAAGTGCAATAAATACAAGTTTATATTCTGTCAGAATGAGGAGTATCTTTCGTGGTTAAGTTAGTAGAATCTGGAATAAAGATACCAAGTAAAATCTGACATACACAGATGTCAGTCACCGTTTCTTCTAAGGAGAAGATGTTTCTCTCTTAATTTGATTTTCTCACAATCAGGCCTTTCAAGTAGTCGTCACGCCGGTATTCACTTCTCCAACTGCAAGTGATCTCCTAAATAAGTCGAAAACGCATTGCAAACCAAAGGGAATAGCTATATTACTTGCTATATTGAAATCTCTTCAATTAAGATAATAATAATAATGATAATCTTTTTTACCTGGATTTACAGGGGGGTATACCATTTTTACGCATATATGATTAATAATCCTTTATTAGTTGATGACAATCTCCAGGAACAGTAAAAACAAAACTACATAGGATCTAGCTAATGTATGCAAGAAGGAAGGCTAGTAATTTCAAATTTTTATAATTCACAGGGATGTGGATATTCGTATTTCATGCCGAAATAAGGTGTATGTGTTATTATAGGCTGGTGAGAGTCTTGAGTACTAAACAACAACAAAATTAGGGATAGTGTAAATAAGTGTATATATATATATATATATATATATATATATATATATATATATATATATATATATATATTCCATTATCCGGTTTCTCCTTGCGCTTTCTTTTCTCCTTTCTTTTCAGTGTCAACCTGACGAGAAAATCCTAAGCACTAGTTTGATCGAAAAGTGTCAAGTTACTGAAAATCCTACTTCCTACGTAATATTGGAAACTGATGTTAGAAGTATTCAGCTGGCTTTCCCCTGACTTCTTGTTTCTTGAACAGCTTCACAATCAACTCACCTGACTACTAATACCCTGAATGCCACCACATACGAAACTTTAAGCGCAATAATTGGTCTCCGATTTCTGATCTGTCACAAATGCAGCGGAAATCTGGATAAACAGTCAAGCCTGAGAGATCACGTTACCCAACGACAACACACCCATAATAATGCTATGCAATGGACTCCTCTAGTACTTTGTCTTGTATGAATCCACCTAATAGAGAACAATTACCAGCTAATGTATCCCCTTGACAATGTTGCATACTTTAATATGAAGTCTATGAAGTTTTACACATGTGTAATATTCACCACTGTTGAACGACGATTCTTCCATTCTTTAGTGACTTGCATCAAGACAAGTGTTTTCAGTACTACTAATCTGAACTGCTGGAAGAGGTAACACCCAAAGAGCGAGAAACGCCTGGACTTAGACGTTCACCTGGATTAAGTGATTGTATGGATA